TTAGTTAATTTGCAAAATATCAGTCCATCATATCAAACTGGACTGTTCGTTCCTGTTGCAAAACATCAATCCATTGTCACTATTCATGCGTTTCATACACAAATTCCATTGTGTTCTTCTAGCTCTTCCTTTCTTGATCTTCCCACCATCTTCTGCTGCCAGACATTACGTTGACACTCACGTCATATACTACTTATAAGTAGCTCGCACCACATATCAATTGTGATTAGTTTCACGATTTTGCGTGTAATACAATACACTCATTTCATTTCCATGATCACTGTCTAACTGATTCATGCAAAAATATCCACAAGTCAGCCTATTTCCATGTAGTTTTTAATCAGCTTGTTAGGTATGACTCCGATTTTTTTTGTACGAATGATCAAAACTTACTAATTATTAGAAAATCTTCTACTCTCACGTTTTCAGACAGATATAAGAATGTGAAGAGTAGAAATGGAAGCAAAGAAAACTGGAGAAAACAAAAAGTGGACTAACTCATTTTTTCATGAAGTTTGACTAACTATCTATAAAAAATCATCAATCTACCAATGTTAGACAACTATTAGAAATCTGGAAGCACTAGACAGCCGTTTCGTTTTAAGTACGGGACTCGTTAGCAGTGCACCTCCACGATGGCTCAGTGGTCTAGAGACTAAGTGATGGTGCGCAAGGTTGAATGTCCTCGGTTCGATTCCCTCGAGTGGAGGTTGTGGATGCACACTGCTGATGAGTCCCAGTATTGGGGCGAAACGGCTATCTAGTGTTTCCAAGTTTCTAATGTTGGTCTAAAAATGATCGATTCGTAATTTCAATGAAACTTAACAATCTCCACAACCCTATTATGAAAAATGACTATTTATAGTCAGACAAAAATAAGTCAAAGATATGTGCAAAATGAAGTTAGCAATTCACAACACACTAAAGTGAGAAATCCTAAGGATAGAAACTCATTTCAGTGATAACTCGAGAATAATTGATGAATTTGTCTGTCCAAAAGTTAGGACATGCCATTTAGGCTCGATATATAAGTACACCTTACAAGTTTCACATTTCTTTTCAACTTCAATTGATTTCCTACTGTGGTGCGAGCTACTTATAAGTAGTATATGACGTGAGTGTCAACGTAATGTCTGGCAGCAGAAGATGGGGGAACATCAAGAAAGGAAGAGTGGGAACACAATGGAATTTGTGTATGAAACGCATGAATAGTGACAATGGATTGATGTTTTGCAACAGGAACAACAGTCCAGTTCGATATGATAGATTGATATTTTGCAAATTAACGATTTACGATATGGTTTTTCTATTTTACCAAATAACTCTGTAATTTGAGATAAATACCATTCGGTTGCCCTCGCCTGTGTTCAAGGATTTTCCAGGTGGAAAATGTGATTTCAAGGTCAACTGATCAGTCCATGCTCGAAAGCATAGAATCCAAAATTAAGACATTTATCAAGCATGTTCTAGGGATCTATATATATATATCAGTGTAAGTTGAGCTCACCACACTACAAAAACACGCATTTGAATTACTCACGAACAACATAAATCTCACATGTTTTCGTAACTGAACACATTCACATGAATGCATAAAATGTTATTGCACTATCAAAATTAATTTATGAACTAAAAAACTCACCAATAATCATCCGTAAATATAATTTTATCACGTACAGTTTAATATAAAACAAATAACGTAATTGATAGACATTCACCTTTAAATGATAAAGAATCCTTTTTGTTTAGTAAACTTAGATCTTGATAAAGTTAAAGTCTTTATAAGTCAATTAATTTACATCAAATTTTATTGGAGGTAGTTGTTATGCTCGTCAATGGGTATGCTTGAAACTATAACGGGTTCACCTTAGTCGATAAACGAGAACGAGACAACGAACCAGTGTTCGGGTAGGCTACTCTGATCCGTTATGATGGTGGTGTTTGGTTCTCTGAGCTGGATGTTTTGGTTGTGGACATTTCATTGTTCTTCTGAACAACATCATCAGCACAAATTTCAGATAGAAGTGAAGCATTCGAATTTCTCAACGTTTGACCTGTAGCTTGTTCTGCTAACCTCGATCTTGATTAGTTGCTGTTGTTGACCTTAAACCTGTCGCTGTTTGTACCTACGTTTTGATTGCAGCGTCATTTTGATCTGTTTCTTGATCCTATGTCACCTATGATTTCACTGATTGGTTGATAAATTAGGTCAATGTCAATGTGTTTGTTGATTGCTGATTGACCTGAGTGGGCCAAGCTTTTAAAAATTATCTAGTGTTCTTTGTCCTCCCCTTACTCAGTATTTCCACATTGTTCCAATCGAATGTGTGTCCATAATTGTTGGTGTGTATTGATATAAGCGAAGAATCGTCGTGGCTTTTGACTGCTAATTAATGATCACGTAAACGAAGCTGAAGAGCACATCCACTCTGATCCGTTGACCCAAAAGAACTAACGAAAAAGTATTAAGATAGCGTAGAAAGTATATTCTACAAACATCCAGCGAGTACAGTGAATTCAAGCACACAACTCTCGTTTATTTATACATCATAGAGACGTCCATGGGAGAGTCACAAAAATAGCACACTAAAATAACACAGTAACCAATGACAGTCAAGGCTTTTCCTGATGGGAAATGTGATCTCAAGGTTAACTGATCAGTTCATGAATAAAAATCCGAAATAAAGACATTTATCAAGCGAGTTCCGGGTGGGGATCTAACACCCCCAACACAGTTGAGAGAGTCGTATGTGATCTATTAGTTAAATCTATTTGAGTTTTAATTAATAGATTAGAAGTTCGAGACCAACGACATTGAATTTAATCTAACCCTAACCAGATAATAAAACTAACCTTTGAATCAATAAAGTTTAACTCGAAAAGTAATATACACAAGAAACATTCAGTTATTCAGCGGGTAAGAAGAACGACAATTTCATACAACCTTGTTATCAGTTATATGAACTTGAAGTATTCTCAAGTTGAAAAGTATAAAACATACTTTGCAGAAGTACAATATCTAGGATTTCGGGATAATTTTCATCTCATTCATTGTGTGAGAACTGGACATTAAAATCACAGTGTTCATGATGAATTTCACCTTAATTATCTAACCTTATTTACATTTGTATTCTATAGAACATGAGACTGTAGTGGTGTTGGGGACGTTAGATCCCCATAACTCGCTTAATAAATGCCTTAATTTTCGATTTCACGTTTGCCAGCATGGGCTGATCATTTTACCTTGAGATCACATTTCCCATCAGGAAAAGCCTTGACTGTCATTGGTTACTGTGTTATTTTAGTGTGCTATTTTTGTGACTCTCCCATGGACGTCTCTATGATGTATAAATAAACGAGATTTGTGTGCTTGAATACACTGCGCCTGCTGGGTGTTTGTAGATTATACTTTCTACATTATATCAAGACTTTTCATTAGTCAACGGATCAGGGTAGCCTACCTGGAGGCTGGTTCATTGTCTTGTTCTCGTTTATCGACTAAAGTGAACTCGTAATAATTTCAAGCATACTTGGTGACGAACCTAACAAGTGTCTCCCAACTTGCCTCATGAAAAAGTAAGTAGACAGAGTGTTAGATCTTGAAATGTTTGATATCATACTATTGCTAGTGAAACATTCAGTGATAGGCATTCTTGTGCAAAGACGGACAGAAATGCATTTATGTTATTTCTGCAACGTTGTCTAGGCGTCTCGAAGGAGTTTCAAGGACTCACTGTAGAATTATTGTCAAAATTAAGAAATCTTTTAAAATAGTTATTTAATATCTTTTAATAAATACGAATAAATCAAAATCTTCACTCGTTTAAATGCGTTTTTGATTATGAAGATCATTGATGTGACTAGAGAAGATTGATTAGTAAGTTTCAGTGAACTTGTTAAATAATCACGTATACGATTTTTCAATATAGAGTTATGGAGATTGTTGTTGAACACGGAAATCATGAAACAATTATTGTTAGAACACCATTAAAAACCTCGAAGCAATGAACGGCTGTTTCGTCCCAGTAAGGGATTCATCAGAAGCGCGCATTCACAACTCCTGCTACTTGCAGGATTCGAACACAGGACCTTCTGACTTGCGTGCAGACACCTAAACTCTCCATCATACACACACTGGATTTTATCTCAGTATTACAGAAAGATAATGGAATTCAAAGGTTTTTTAACTTGTAGTGAAGGAGAACACAGGTGAAGGCAACCGAATTGTGTTTAACGAAAATTACAGTTATTCAATAAAATAGGAAAACCATATCGCAAATCGTTCATTTGCAAATCTTCAATCCATCATCAATCCATTTTCTGACATTTCACTACTATTCATACGTTTCATACAAATTCCATTGTGTTCCCACTCTTCCTTTCTTGTTGACCTTCCCCCATCTTCTGCTGCCAGAAATTACGTTTACACACGCGTCATATACTACTTATAAATAGCACGCACCACAAACTCACTGACTAATAATGAGTACAAAGTAAGTGAAATCATTTTCAGTCAGTAATATCATTTAGTTATATATATATATATATATATATATATATATATATATATATATATATATATATATATATATATATACCCAGTAAAATTTGCATCTCATCTACCATACAATTTTGAATTCACGAGCTGAGGATTATGAAGCCACCATTAGAAACCTGGAAGCATTGGACAGAGCATTTCATCCTAGGATGACAATGGATGATAGTCACTGAAGTTAGACATGAACATCATTGAATTCAGGTCAGACGTTCGATCTCAAGACCTTTGGTCCTGGGTTCGATTCCCGTGAATAGGGGTCATGAATGTGCGCTGCTGAATAGTCCTACGCTAGGGATAAAACGGTTGTCCAGTACTTCCAGGTTTCTAATGATAACCTAACATGATTTCACTGAATTCCAACAATCTTCATAACCTCATATTAACAAAATAGAACAACATCACAAGTAGCATTAGAACAACAAAACCAAAAAACCCAACCTACATTTATAAAATGTGGTTGTGATACAACCACTGGGGCATTCGATTGACATGATGACATATCCAGCACACCATCTTTAAAACAATCTGACCAATTTAAACAAAATCCTTTATTCTCTGTAGATTTAAATGTATTCTCGGATAAAATATATTTATAAACTGACAGATTATACAATTCACTTGTTGAATACCAATTCAATTGTATTGAACGACATAAATCATAAGCAAATACATATGGTTTATGTGCTTTATTTAAAAATTTCTGATATAATGTACCATCAGTACCATTAATCATATTTGCTGTTAATGTTGTCCAATAATTTAAACTAGTTTGATTATTGAATTTTAAAATTCTGCCAAAATTTTCCGCCGCATTTTTTAAACCATCATCAATCAATATACGTTCACTTGGTGTATTATTACGATGTATCAATAAACCAATTTCTTTCATTGGTACTTGAATACCATAATCTGACAGTAAAGTTAAAAATTCATCCTGATAACCCCATAATAATTGTTTTATAGTTTTTGTTTGAAACAATAGGTAGCCATGTTGTTTTTCAAATAATTCAATTAACCAATTAATTGTGAATGGTAAATTTGTTAATTTGGCAGCTATACCTATAAATCCTAAATTGATATTTGTTACAGTATCCATTTCATTGCCAATAGATAAATCGCGATCAAAATAATATTGTTTAATTTCTTGATATTCTATACTTCCTCCATTAGTTGGACAATGTTGAACATTGAATTTAAAACGTTGTTCACGATAAGTATATGGTCCTAATTGTTTTAAAATTGGTCGGGCGCCATGTTGAAATTGTTTTGGATTAGTTAAATTGAAAAAATAAAATTGTATCCTAATTGGAATGGATGGTTTTAACCAATTTGCATAAAATTTACTACCTGGTACTAAACGTAATTGTTGATTTACAACGAACCAAATAAATGGATGTATTGCGCATATTAAAATAAATGATATAATAATCAGAGTAATTAATATTTTAATTATCATTGTCATTGTTTTTAATGTGAAACAGAATCAAAATGAGTAGTAGTTGCAATGAATATAAATCAAGCACTGTGTACCTTGTTATAAAATAATTGTGTACAAATTTAAGTGAAATGAAATGAACACATACTTTGTGTATGTGATGATGACATTGTTTTTTGAAATGAACCAATGAACATTGAATGTTGATACTCTAGTTAATAGTAGTTAGTCATTGATCAATTTTTCTAGACTAATGTTGTTTATTTGAATAGATAAACAATGTTCGAATTAGATAAAAAAAAAATGGATTTTGTGTGAAACAATGAAAATATATAAATAACTGGGGTTTTTTCCAGTGAATATTTCGAAACAAATGAATTGGTGATCAGAAAAACAATGTAGTTTATCAATTAGAGAGTTATGGAGATTATTATTTTTACACATAGAAAGCATGAATCAATCAGTGTTAGACCACAACATTAGAAACTTGAAAGTACTGAAAAACGGCTGTTTCGTCCTGGAATAAGACTCATCAGTGACAGTTCGCATCTACGACTCCTGCTACTTTGAGGGCTCGAACAAAGGTGCTTCGGCCTTGCGCGCGAACGCCTAATTTCTGGACATTGGGCCGGAATCAAACGGTGTTAATGTCTAACTCTGATTAATCTAGGGATTTTGCGCGACCACACCCAATTTTCATCGGTAGTTACTGCCTACCACAATGGGCTAACAATGATTGATTCTTGGTTTCTATGTGTAAAATCAATGATCTCCATAACTTGAATTGAAAAATCGTACAATATGTTCACTAGTGACTGGCTTCTTCAGGAAATTCTCGGAGTTCTAGTGAAAAGACTTGACCAATGGAGTTCAATCCTGTCGAGTGTAGGCAGTAACTACCTAAGACAATGAGTGGTAAGGTTGCTCAAAATCCTTAGACTGATCAAAGTTAGACAATAACACAGTTGTAAGCCTGCTCAGTCGTCCAGAGGTCAAGTGTTCGCGCTCAACATTGGACTCCTGTGTTCGAATCCAGCTAGTAGCAGGAGTGTGGTGCGCGCTACTTATAAGTAGTATATGACGCGAGTGTAAACGTAATGTCTGGCAGCAGAAGATGGGGGAAGATCAAGAAGAAAGGAAGAGTGGGAACACAATGGAATTTGTATGAAACGCATGAATAGTAGTGAAATGTCAGACAATGGATTGATGATGGATTAAAGATTTGCAAATTAACAACGGTTTACGATATGGTTTTCCTATTTTACTGAGTAACTCTGTAATTTTCGTTAAATACAATTCGGTTGCCCTCACCTGTGTTCTCCTTCACTACAGGAGTTGTGGATGCACACTGCTGATGAGTCCTGCACCAGGATGAAACGGCCATCTTTCAGTGCTTCTAGGTTTATAATGGTGTTCTAACAATGATTGCTTCATGATTTAGATGTGTTTTATATCATTTACTATACGTAACACTGGACAATCGATGAAAATGAGCGAAAATTGAACAGTTGCTTTGTTCTTGTTGTCATTATAGGGTTTTGAAGATTGTTCAATTTCATGAAAATCATGAATCGATCAATTTTAGACCCCTATTGAAAACCTGGAAACATTGAATGGCCAATTCGTTTCATTTTCAAGGTCATGGATGCATATGATCACTGAGGAGTCGTTCTAGGTTACTAGTGTCATTCTAATGTGGAATCACTGATCACATTGCACATCTACTACGAAATTGTGAATCAAATCAAGAACTTTTAAAGTTTTCTTTCAACCAACTAACTTATCATCAAACTTTTTAATTCATAGTAAAACGGGTTAAGTTTGAATAACTACAATCAGTTCACAGAAATTCGTGTACTAGTACATTGTTTTAGTTCATACAACATAGTGATATGCTTAACCTAATAGATGACCGATAAAATTATCCATTTGAAGGTAGTACTTTTGGGAAATCCTGGATCATATTATCTCTCTCTCTCTTTCTAGTTGCCTCTCATCAGCAAGGTGTACCTACAATCTTGAGGCAACTGATTCTCTCAGTAAAAATGAGAACTCATATTGGCTTAGTTAACTAGTCTAAGAAGCATTGTTAGTGTTCTTAAGGACTACATGTGATTAGTCTTTTTTTATCATATGCCATAAATTTTGTGTGGATTATCTCATTATTGTCATTAAATTACAAACAGAGTTGATTATTGGCTAACAAAGAAATCCAGAGAAACGTACGTTTCGTCTTAGTCGAGACGTATTAATTTGATGTGTTGTTGTTAGACCACCATTAGAAACTTGGAAGCATTGGATGACTGTTTCCTTCTAGTATGAGACTCATCAGCATCCATGACCACCGCTCACAGTGACCGAACCCAGCACCCTCAGTTTCACGCGAGAACGCTTAACCTCTTGACCACTGAGCTGGCAATCAGCAGTGCTAATATCTGATTTCAATCATTTCAAGGTATTGCATAACCTCACTGGTGAGCAGGGATTGTGGATGCGCACTGCTTATGAGCCACATACTACGAATGGAATGGCCTTCCAGACGAAGTTTTCCAGTGTAGAGGCAGCCTCTGAAGCACTAACTCTCAACATACACTAGTTGAAAAGCAAGATCCTCTAATATGACACAATGTATATCAACTAAATCACACTTGACGAAGAAGATTTGAGGGATGTAGAAACATTTACATATCAGGACAGCCTCATTGATGAGCAAGGTGGATCTGACACTTATCATCCAGATGTAAGGCATGGATTGGAATTAAAAGGACAGTATTTCTACAATTGAAGAATATCTGTAATTCAAAACAACACTAAGTCACGATTTTCAATACAAAAGTGGAAAGTTAGTGTTGGAGATGTTAGATCCCCAAAACTCGCTTGATAAATGCCTTATTTTGGATTTCACGTTTGTCAGCATGAGCTGATCAGTTGACCTTGAAATTTCATTTCCCACCACGAAAATCCATGGCTGTGATTGGCTGCTGTGTATTTTAGTGTGCTATTTTCGTAACTGTCCCACTAGGACGTTTCTATGATGTATAAATAAACGAGATTTGTGTGCTTGATTGTAATGTGATTGCTGCGTGTTTGTAGAATATACTTTCTACGCTTACCAAGACTTCTGTTTTGCAGTTTTGGGATCAAGGTAGCCTACCTGGACGTCGGTAATTGTCTCGTTCTCGTTTATCGACTAAGGTGAACTCGTAATAGCTTCAAGCGTACCTAGTGACGAACCCTATAGTTAGAGAACTACGAAAGCCATCCTCCTAAAAGATAAAGGTGTTTATTAACAGTAGTCTACGTAAGATGCTGCAGTAATTAAGTAAGTAAGTGCATAAGTGCATAAGTAAGTAAGTAAGTGAGTAAGTAAGTGGGTAATATTTGTATTTCTGAGATTGACCTTTACTAACCAAGCGGATTTTCGGTGTTTAAAACCACACTCATGAATATCAGTGTATTGAGATGTGTAATGATCAATGTGACTGGATTCGGACAGTTGACTGATGACAGTTACCAATGAAAATTATAACCAGAGTTCCCACAACATTTTACTGTATATTTGATAGTTAAAACCTATCTTTTGGAAGTAATGCACACATAGGTTTCCTATAAGTTTGAACCGATTAACAAGGTATATCTGGAATGATGTATAAAATCTACCGAACCAAAATACAAAACGATAATCTATAAAAACAGTACTGTAATTATGAAGTTATATGCAAGACAATACAAACTCTGACTCATGAAATGTCTACTGTACTAGCTAGGTTCAAGGGCAATCAGAAAATGGGAATATATATTCATACATACACTATATGCTCAAACGTTATTGGAAATGAAACAGGTTACTTTATATTATTAAGTAGTATAAATTGGTTCACAAAAAGAAGTAAGCTAGATGCAAAACATGTCAAAAAACAAACTTCCACACATTAATGTGGTGGTGTTTGGTTCTCTGAGATGGATGTTTTGGTTTTGGAACTGTCATTGTTCTTCTGAACAACATTATCATCAGCACAAACTTCAAGTAGAAGTGAAGCATTCGAATTTCTCCACACGTTTGACCAGTAGCTTGTTCTGTTAACCTCGATCTTGATTGATTGCTGTTGTTGACCTTAAGCCTGTCGTTGTTTGCGCCTGTGTTTTGATTATATCCCACTTTTTTTTATCTGTTTCTTGATCCTATGTCGCTTATGGTTTTCTTGATTGGTTGATTAATTGGGTCAATGTCGATGTGTTTGTTAATTGCTGATTGACCTGAGTTCCAAGCTTCTGAAAATTCTCTAGTGTTCTTTGTCCTCCCCCTACCCAGTATTTCCACGTTGTTCCAATCAAATGTGTGTCCACAATTGTCGATGTGTATTGATATAAGCGAAGAATTTTTGTGGCGTTTGACTTCTAATTGGTGTTCACGTAAACGGAGTTGATGAAGAGACCGTCCACTTTGTCCTATGTAGTGTTTTTCACAGTCTGAGCAGTTGTTTATTTTGTAGATGACATTTGGTTTTTCTTCCTTTTTCATTTTATCCTTTGGTCTAAATAAGATAGATTGAATTGATTCTGTTGGTTTGTGTGCCACATCTATTCCAAATGGTTTCAGTAGTCGTTCTGTATACTCCGATATGTGTTTGATGTATGGCAGGAGGATGCGTTTATTTCTTTCTGTGTTTGATTTCACTTCTGTTGATGATTTCGGTTGATGTTTTCTGATGAGGTTGCGTGGATAGCTTGGCACTCAGGTCAATCAGCAATTAACAAACACATCGACATTGACCCAATTAATCAACCAATCAAGAAAACCATAAGCGACATAGGATCAAGAAACAGATCAAAAGAGGGATATAATCAAAACAAATGTGCAGACAACGACAGGTTTAAGGTCAACAACAGCAATCAATCAAGATCGAGGTTAGCAGAACAAGCTACAGGTCAAACGCGTTCTGTTTGACCTTTCTGTCAATTTACTTATTATGTACACATAGTCAGAAAAAAATTTGTTCTCACGAATTAAATTCTAACCAACTTGAAAATTTCTCAATATAAATTGTTCTACTGAATTTTTAGTTAGTAGCATAACTATTAATAGAAAATAATAACATCTACATTCGTTGTGTTAAATTTTGTTACTGTAATATATACTCAGTGTTAGTGGTTCACTATTGTTTATTCAAGAAGTATATTGGACATATGTTGTTTTTTTCAATTTTGATTATCTACTACTGACGTTCAACTGCAAAATTTATCGATTAGTTCATGTGGTATAACTATTTTAATGACTTTCAGATATTGAACGAGTAAATTCGTCTCTAACCTTAAGTAAGGATATGTCAAAGACTTCAGTGCTTCGGTCTGATTTACTCATTGTTTATTATAGTGCCAGGATGTAAGTCTGGTTGGAACTTCGACAAGGAACTTCAACTGTGGTGCACTTGTACTTTTCCCTGTCTCCAAACTGATGGGATACATGGGCTCTAGGATCCAGAGCGATCAGGTTGCCTATGGAGCTGTTGTTAGTGACAGGTTATCATGGGACCTCATCCTCTAACGTTACTTCACTGCCTAATGAATTAAACTTGTAGGTCAAAGGTTCAGTGAGTGATCCCGCCGAAAAAAAGCTTGCTTCATTTCGGGCAGCCGGACAGAATCTCAGCCCACACAAATATTCACTGATTTATGTGGTATACTTCTTGTACAATGAAAGCACTCAAAGATCTAATTGTAGAAAGAAAATGGTTTAATATTGACATGTTAAGCTTTTCGAAATTTTGTCTCAACCTCATTGAAAATGAACAGGTACATACTATCTTCGAAATATCGTGAATAAATGAGTTATTCACTCTAGTCAATGTTATCGTCTGTATATTTTTATCAATCTAGTAACATGAATGAGTTGTAAACATTATTACTTAATTATAATCAGTAAAGATTTCTATTCAGAAATGTTTCCTTGCATTAGAGTATTATAGAGATCATGGTTTTGCCTTGAAGTCATGAATGAATCATTATGAGTCCACCAAAAGAAACCCGGAAGCACCGGAAGGCTGCGTTGTCCTGGTATGGGACTCATTAGTGGCATCCGTGACTCCTCCTACTCTCAGGATTCGAACCCAGGACCTCAGGTCTTGAGCGTGGACTCTTAAACTCCGGACCACTGAGCTGACATCCAGCGGTATTAGTGACTTAATCTGATCAGTTTAATGATTTTGCGCCACCTCACTCATTTTTCTTCGGTAGTTACTACCTATACCCGACAGGGTTGAAGTTCACTGGTCATGTCTTTTCACTAGAACTCCGAGGACCGCACGAATCTAGTCACAAGTCAGCATGCTTTTGATTCTGCATTAGACGTTTAAGGAGAATGTAGTTTCGCCTTTAAATCATGACTGAATCATTGTTAGAGTGATGAAAGTTAGACATTAATACAGTTAGACACCGGTTCATTGGTCTGAAGGTTAAGCCTTCACTCCTCGGTTCGGTTACTGAGAGTGGCAGAAGTCATGGATGCACACTGCTGATGAGTCCTATACCAGCACTTGACCACCGCCCAGTGTCTCCAGGATTCTAATGGTAGTGTAACAATGATTGGTGGATGATTCCAAACAAATTTATCATTTAAAATTCCGTACTTATTGAATAGGAACCTACCAAAGACAATGATTTTTCCTCTTTATCTTTTCACAATCACACTATTTACATCACACATTTAAAGTAGTTAGTATTATGTATCGAAAACTCTTATACAACCTCTTCTCCAAAAGTAATTAGCTTTCTAACCTCACTCTACTAATACTACTACGACGACTACTTCTAACACTACTAACACTACTCCATTAATAGTTTCTGATTAATTTTTATATTATGACTGATGAATACACAAGGTTTTCACAACTACATATCATTCGTTTCGATCAAGTTGAAAATTGAACACGGCTATTATTATTAATATGAATAGTAGTAGTAGTAGTAGTAGTAGTGTGATTAGTAGTGGTAGTAGTTTTAGTAGTCCCGACCGAAGCTGCTACCTTGATGTGGTGGTCGGGCTTGCTTATCTTGACCACCCAATCGAGCTATATTAGCTGGGACATATGTTCCTGAAGGTTCTACCATGCCACGCAGGTTGATTGGAGAACGATCAGACTAAAAGCAGATACTCAAGGTCTGAGGGCGAAGTCGTACTGTTGACTGTGATGGAGGGGTGTGACAGCAGTAAGGTGTTTCCCTCGGACAACCAGCATCTGCAGCAATGCTGACTTCTCATAAGGAAGGAAGGGGTTAGAAAAGGTCGACGCTAAAAATGTCATACCTCACCCTACCTCACTGATTTCCGTCTCCCGTGGTAAGGGTGCCCACTAAGGGCCTTTAAGAGCGGAGCTAATACTCAGAAAACCTCTCATAAAAAGGCCGTTCGTGACTGGCCTCAAGCAATTTTCCCTTTGGTTCTGCGGTCACGCTCTCCGGTCTCCAAGACCAACACTAATCTATTTTTCTTTTCAGGTCCCTCAAGAAACAACCTTCCACGGTATGGGCAGCCGGGAAATGACAACCGCCCTCAAACCCGTAACAGCACACGAGACCAAATCGGTCATAATCAAGTAGTAGTAGTAGTAGTCTGAGTAGTAGTAGTAGTAGTGTGGTGCGAGCTACTTATAAGTAGTATATGACGTGAGTGTCAACAACTGTGCCTCCTACTCCTCATCGATGTTCGTCAACACACGGCGCAGTAACCTTGTGAGCTCCACAGCAAGCACCAGCGGGTCGCCATCAGCCGACAGCCTCGCCAACCGGAACTTCTGCAACGCCTCCTCCCTGTCCACTGGGCTGTCGAACTCCGTCATCAGCCGCCCGGTGACCGCCCCCCACGTCGTCTCCCCGCCAGCACCGTCCAAGCTGTCATATACGGCTCCTGCCCTGCCTCTCAGCAGTGTCCCAAGCACCACCAGCTTCGCCTTCGGCTCCTTCTCCCCCACCAGCTCCGCCACGGCCTCAAACTCCTTCAGAAAGCTCCGCACATCTCCGTCCTCAAACTCCTTTGGCCATGGTGTCTTCATCCTTTGTGTAGGCAGCGACGCCAAATGTAGTGAAGGAGAACACAGGTGAGGGCAACCGAATTGTGTTGATCCCAAATTACAGAGTTACTCAGTAAAATCGGAACACCATATCGTAAATCGTTCATTTACAAAATATCAGTTCATCACATCTAACTGGACTGTTCCTGTTGCAAAATATCAATCCATTGTCTGACATTTCACTATTCATGCGTTTCATACAAATCCCATTGTGTTCTTGCTCTTCCTTTCTTGATCTTCCCCATCTTCTGGTGCCAGACATTACGTTGACACTCACGTCATATACTACTTATAAGTAGCTCGCACCACACTAGTAGTGGTAGTAGTAGCAGAAGTAGTGGTAGTAGTAGTAGTAGTAGTAGTAGTAGTAGTAGTAGTAGTAGTAGTAGTAGTAGTAGTAGTAGTAGTAGTAGTAGTAGTAGTAGTAGTAGTAGTAGTAGTAGTAGTAGTAGTAGTAGTAGTAGTAGTAGTAGTAATAGTAGTAGTAGTAGTAGTAGTAGTAGTAGTAGTAGTAGTAGTAGTAGTAGTAGTAGTAGTAGTAGTAGTAGTAGTAGTAGTAGTAGTAGTAGTAGTAGTAGTAGTAGTAGTAGTAGTAGTAGTAGTAGTAGTAGTAGTAGTAGTAGTAGTAGTAGTAGTAGTAGTAGTAGTAGTAGTAGTAGTAGTAGTAGTAGTAGTAGTAGTAGTAGTAGTAGTAGTAGTAGTAGTAGTAGTAGTAGTAGTAGTATAACTAATAGTAGTATCTTACCTAATCTGATCAAGATTGCATCAAATTATTATATATATTCACACACACTAACAATCATCATATCTACATTTGTTTGTAAAATTATTGTTTCTTTTGTCTTACAGAAATTAATTTCCTGCTTTTATTTGTCAACAACACAAACAACTCTACTGACATTGTTAATCACAATAATGAAACTACGTTTTTTTCTTGAGAAAAAAAAAGATAGGAAAACGGAAATACGAAAATTTTAAAAATCTCCAATCGGGTTCTCTTTTCTTGTCTCTCTTATTTTTATTATCAAATAATTAAGATAACTTTATTCAGACAGACAGATAAGTAGAACAGATAGTATCTATATCTCTGTTCATCCGCAACGCTCTCTCCCTCTCTCTCCGCCGATCTAACTTACTTCCAACCCATTCTTTCCTAATCATTCCCTTGGACTGAAAAACTTTCTATGAGACATTTTGTCTTACTTTGTCAAATAAAATCTTGATTACTTACTACTCAGTTCACATAAACACACTGTTCCATAGATAGAAGAAGATTGTGTATCCGTTCGCAAAATCAATAGTAGTAAGAAATGGTCCACATCGTCATCAAAATAATATCAGTAGTACTAATAGTAGTAGTGATAATAATTTGCTGTAGTTGTGGTCAAATCCAACAACAACAACAAAAAAATGTCAGTTAATTACAGTTTATAACACTACAACTTATAATTATCAGTAACTAATAGTGATCAAGGCTTAGTTTAGTCGGGATTATCACTATGACAACCGGGTAAAAGTACACGTTTTTTTGCAAAGGTTTTTCTCTTCAAGAATGAAGTGCAAAATAGAAAATTTCTCTCCTACCTGCAAAAAGTAAAGAAAACAGTATCACATACACAGAGGTGAATTACATTTTGTAGACAGGAAACCTACTCAAAAAGCTTCCCATCACATCGACACACACACACACACTCAAACATGCACACAGACAAGAGGTTTTATACGAACCATTGCTAATCAACATTCTTTACACTATGGTCATACCATTTTTTGAGACTTTAAGTAGGTACTATCTCATCTGTATCACTGAGTGTGTGCGTGTGTGTGTGTGTGTGTGTGGATAGGAGCTTGTTTGAATTTCTCTTCGATGAAGCGACGAAATGTTTGTTCAATGTACAAGGGTTACAACTATTCATACTACTATTACTACTACTACTACTACTACTATTACTACTACTACTACTTCTACTGTTGTAACTCTTAGTATCATGACTGCGATTGTATAAAAGAATTTGAAATAGTCAACTATTCTGCAATGTCACAAGAAAAAAAATTTTAGATGTGTTAACCGGAATTCAAAAAAAACATTGACCACAAAAAATTTTCTCGTTTTTTATTTGTTAACTTCTTATACTTACTTTCTTGATTTGTGATTTTTTTTCCTATTTTTCTGCAGTTGAAAAATTGATCATATTCAATAGTGAAAGTGTCTTTGTTTTACTTGTTCATTTTGGGTGTTAGTTAGCGCGCGAGCGCGCGCGCGCGTATTTCATTTTTATTCACAACCACTTTCTTTTTTTTTCCTTTGTAATGATAACTAAGAATTCTGATGTTTTTTTTAAAAAAAGTTTTTTGATAATTTCTGCCAACACAAAGGAAATAATTATATCAAATAGAATGAACGTTAAAATGTTAGAAAAAATTTTTTAAAAAAATAAAGAATTATTTTGCGCAAATTACAAATCAACTTTCTCTTATGATAGTTGATACTAGATTGTGTATCGTTAGATTTTGAATTTCCCGTTTGTTGACTAAAGAATGAGTGCATTGCGCAGCAGTTCGCTCCATTCTACTACATGGATGCGAAACATGACCAGTCAGATTAGAAGATATTCGTAGGTTACTAGTCTTCTATCATAGATGTCTTAGATGCACTTCTCGTGTATCCTGGGGCAACCGTATAGGCAATACTGTCGTTAGGAAAAGAGTTCTAGGTGAGGATGGAAGATCAATAGATGAAGTATTCAAACTTCATCAGTTGAGATGGTTGGGACATGTGTTACGAATGCCTAACCACCGACTGCCTCGACGAGCTATGTTTGGTGGCACGAATCCATGAAGTTACTGAGAAGTGTACTGAGTCATGTTGGTAGATGTGGTCGGGGTCCACGAGACGAACGTCACCAATGGTTAGAGACCTTGAATAACATGGTTTGCGATGGCGCAGGTGCATCCACTCTTTGTGTTCTCACAAATCCTAATCTTCTGGATCCGTCAACACCTCTACTTTTCTCCTTCTGAAGTGGTCTCACTGAACCATACTTCTTGAATAATATCTTGAAACCCTAATCTTCTGTATTACCAGTAGTACACTTACTATCTTTACCACTATGGGATTTGAACTGACAGTTGCTTCTCTGTGCTAATGTGGTATGGCAACCTGAACTAATGTACTTACGTACGAAGTTCTACATTGCATCTGACTGACTGATTGACTTTTGAATTTCCCACTGAAAAGGAAAAAAAATGAAAAATGAAATTCTTAAAGTTGATTAAAAATAAATTTTCATAAAAATTTTAAGCTGATATTAATTTATTTGTGAAGGAATATTTACGGTTGTGATAGATTCGATCTAGGGTTCACTATTTTAGTGGCCTGAAATATGATGCCAAATGCTGTGAAATTATTCTCCCCCTCACTTTCCGTACATATCTCATACTTAGGCGAATCCAGTTTATGCGATGGCAGTACAGACTCTGTTGGATGAGTTTATTTCAAGCAATCGTTTATACAGACAGACAGGAGAATTACGAAGATTGAAAGCAAACAGAGGCAAAGTGGAGAAGGCCGGTGAGCCAACTCCATGCGATTATAGCATGACTTAGTATTTATGGTCAGATAAAATAAGCTAGGCATGTAATCAGCAATGTAAGCAACACACACGCACTCAAGCGTAAACAATCTACATCTGACAAGGTCCAAAGACGAGAGAATATTGACTCGGGCAGAAGAGGTTAGTTAGTTTGTCCAAAAGCTGAAACAAACCATCTGGGCTCAACATATCATTAGGACAGATTACATAATGTAAAATTGGAATATGTATTATCGATTTTTACAAAAGTACCATTTTTAGTAAATGAACACGTCGGTAATACCGAATGGAAAATACACGATTTACTAACGAAATGTGCACATCATATCTTTAGAATTTCATCTACAAAACAAACAGATAACCTTTCCCTCCCCCTCTCAGTGGACTAACGGTCCGGACGTTCGCGCACAATACCGAATCCTGCGGGGTGCAGGAGTCGTCGATGCGCACTGCCAATGATGAGTCCCATACCAGGACGAAACGGCCGTCCAGTGCCTCCAGGTTCCTAATGGTGGTCTAACATTGATCGTTTCATGGTTTCAAAAAATGTGTAAATTTGTTTTAGTCTTCAAAACACTTTGATTGTGCCATACATTTGGACTGATCATTCTTCTCTATGATAGTAACTTCTAGGCAGCACTCTACTTTATACCACTTATAAGCCATGTTACGAGTAGTATCCATCACTTCATCTGTAAGTCATATTAGCGCCCCTCATCGAGAAGAATTCATGATGAACCAATGAACTTTTAGAATTAACTTACAAGGAATCGTAAATTAGCACAAAACTGTGTATCTTTCTAAGTAATACAACAGATTAGTCATCTAAATTAAATCATCTGATTCAATATTTCATTTTTTTAAACTTATCAAGCGTACTTTTTAACGTCAAATTGAATTTTGAATTTAAATTAGTCTAGATTATTTTACTAGGCTTTGGTCTGTTACATTAAAACAAACGAACTTTATGAATTCATCAACTGTGAAGTCATGAATGCCAACTCTTGATGAGTGTCATACTAGGACAAAACATTTCTCCCATACTTTCTCAGTTTCACAGTTTGTCGAATCGAAATTAGTTCGTAGTATAAACTCTGAAACTTGACAATTTTCAATCGCTAATAATTTAGAGTTCTAAATATTTTATGGTTTATATCACAGTACTACTTACATTCTATGAGCAGTATATGTATGATGGATTAAAAATTCAAAAACGTTTCATTGTATTTGATTAAAATTGGCGAAATTAGTTAGATGGGATTAATCTGATTATTTCATCCTCCTAGGGTTAGCAACCCCACCCTACAGAGATACAACTCACCTTAGCCCTAAAGCTAACCAGAAAAACAAATCGCTTGTCGTCAGCCTATGCTCCATTAGGGTTAACAGGAGTAAGTAAGCAATATGATTATTAATTAAAACTTCATTCTTGGAATCAGTATGAATTATAAGTTTCACAACTACTCTTTCATTGTTTAAATCACGAATTGATATGAAAATCTGAAACCATCTAACTGTCTTTTCCCTTAGTATGAGACTTCTCACCTACACAACCTTATCACTGGGAATCAGACCTAAGGCCTTTGATCTTGTATAAGAACGCCTGACGTCTAGGCTATATAGAATAGATAGAATGTGGATAGCGGTAGAAACTAGAGTGCTCCTTTTTTCCTATTTAGGACTCGTCAGCTGGATAAACCTGTTAGGTTCGTCACTAGGTATCCTTAAAACCACTACGGATTCACCTTAGTCGATAAACGAGAACGAGATAATGAACCAGCTTCCAGGTAGGCTACCCTGATCCGTTGACTATCGAAAAGTCTTGATATAGCTTAGAAAGTATATTCTAAAAACACCCAGCAAGCACAATGATCTCAAGCACACAAATCACGTTTATTTGTACATCATAGAGACGTTCTTGGGAGAGTTGTAAAATTAGCACACTAAAACAACACAGTAACCAATCACAGCCAAGGATTTTCCTGGTGGGAAATGTGATCCCAAGGTCAACTGATCAACCCATGCTCGAAAAATTAAAATCCAAAATCAGAGCATTTATCAAGCGAGTTCTGGGGACCTAACGCCTCCAACAATACCCGCATCTTAAAAGTTGATTTTCACGCCGTGACTCATA